AATTGATGTGAAAATAAACATTCCAGAAGTCTTTTGAAGTGTATTTTGACAAATGATGAACAGCAGACTGTAATTTTACATAATTATGTTATATGAGAAACACGAGAGTGTCACGAGAGTCAAAACAATAAAATTGTCATTTTGGTACTACGAAAGTGCCCGTAATTCCGTAATAGTAAGAGTCCATAATTGCGGGAGTCATTTCCAGTCAAACCTCTACAGCTTTCGCTGGGGATCTGGATGTTGTCCGTGATAGCGAGCGTCTGTATACAATCAATATATCAATCAATCAATCAATCAATCAATCAATCAATCAATCAATCAATCAATCAATCAATCAATATATTTAACGTGGTCGGTACACTTAGCTAAAAAGCTACTTTACAGGTACGCCACGAAAAAAACAGAAAAAAGAAATTATAAGAGCCTTATGAAGGTATTTAAATTTAAATAAATTAAGATTAAGAACTACCTAATATTAAAATATAAGAATGAACAACGAAGTCACAAGTAAAATGTATAATTATACAATATAATTACGTATAATTAAGCACATAATTATGTATAATTATACAATTTGTGTATATATATACACAAACCTTCATCGCCCTTCTCTTGTTACCACTTGTCCAAACGACAAACACGATCAAACATTCTACCAGGGAAAAGAATGCAAAGACAAACGAAACCATTAGGTACCAGTCCAACGCCTTGGGATAGCTGACTTTAGGCATGGTGCCATTGATAGATCCAAGAAGAAACATGATGGTCAGAATGGTGGTGATTCCCAGCGCCATTCTGTTTCCCATGTCTGTTTTGTCCATCCAGAAAACAATCCAGCTTAGAGCTACGACGAAAATGTCGGGAAGGTAGACTTGGATGAGATAATATCCCATACGACGTTTGAAGAAATACGTCACTATTATGGTGGAGAAGTTTCCTGAAATAAACCCAGAGTTAACTCGCTCAGCCCTGTCCGTGTCAATTTAGAAATTGAGTCGCTAGGCGTAGTGGTTAGGGCGCTGGATTTGTAATCCGGAAGCTCCTGGCTCAAATCCTCCTCCCTGCCACTAGATAGATTTGCATAGGGTGGCTCCGAACTCAACTCCTCCACGGCTTGTAAATAGCTATCTGGTAATCCTCCAAACAGCTGGGATTTTTAACAAGTTTTTATGTTCTGTTTACAACATTTATAGTGCCCCCAATTAGCACAGCTGTGCTAAATACCGGTAATAAAGTGATTTATCATTTTTATTTTTAACAGCAAGCTTAACTATTTTTGTTGCGAATAGCTTTCATGCTTAAGTATAATAATTTATTTTTCATCGTAGTGGGCATGCATGCGTAGTTAACTCCAGGCTAGGCTACCGACATCCTCCTCCAACAGATGAAGCTAATAATTCCAAGGAATTGAAAGACAATGAGAGTTTAAGATACCAGGATGGCAAGAGGCGGAGCAATTGTTTTAAGCATAGACGAGGGGTTAAATTTATGAGAACCTGACGAAGAACAAACGCAGGGGAGATTTTTATTGAACTCAGACTACCAGATCATAGAAGGCAATGCCCAAACAACGCTCTTTCATACTGGCTCTTACATAGATCTACAATAATACGAATCAAAAATGTAAGATTTACCTATTTTGTACATGTCCACAGACGTCGACAATGAGGCCCCCTTGTAGTCAAATTGTGCCATCTGAGTCGCCTCTACTTTCACAACTTTGTATTTCCATTTGTAAATAATATCCTCAGTTGTATAAGCATCTTGTTTAAAGAAAAAAAGAAATAAGCTCGTCTAGTGTGTTCGAATTTATTAAATAACATTACCTGTAAATAAAATGAACATGTATCGTGTTGAAATCAAGTGCAGTGGATAATTCTTTAGGGACACTGTGATTGGTTTACTTATATAGCAAATACTATAGATATGTTCCTCTTAGTTTAGTAAACAAATTGTTTGACCTCATTTTTAGCCATAAGTGCATTAATTTTTACTGATGTTTTCTATCAAAGCATATATATGCTTTAAAAAAGCTGAAAATGTATGCATTGAGTACGTTCAACTTTACAATGACTTCATGACGAGGGACAAACATGGACAAGACCGTATGAGTGAAACGATTGTCATTACACTAACAACATCATTAAGAATTGTGTTATTGCGAAATAAGCACTTACAGCTTCCAATTTTAAGAAAACACTCTTGCGAGTCAAATGGGAAATGACGAAGATCCAGTTCACAAGATGCTAAGAAAGTCACCCTGGAAAAAAAGTAAATTCTTGTAAATACGTCTCTGATCAGAATATTATTAGGTTATAAAACCTCATTCTTGACTTTAATTTCATGCAGGAGCAGTTGAATTACTATGTACTCTGATAAAGAATTAAAAGGTAACCGTAGATTTAGCATCTTCAAAAGTTTGAAACAAATTATTCAAATTTGCTTTTTTAAATTCTTTTCATTCCTTTCCAAGCTCAAGGTTGGCTCTCAGCCTTTATTTATTTCATTTCGTAAGTAATCTTGTGCTTCGTAAAAAGTCAGTTAATAGATTATATATCTTGAACAATAATTAACCCAAGCTTAAACACGACTGTGAATAATAATGATAAAAAATTATTTTGTTTCAAGATCTGAACAATAAGCCGTAAAAGACAGGCTATGCAAACTCACGTTGCATTATCATAGTGACAGTATAAATGATTTGCGTGTTCCACCTCACCACTCTACTAGAGGCCACGAAAGCTAAGAGGTTGGCGACGAACCCTCCCACTCAAAGAGTAAGTTGAGCTTGATCTAGCTGTCCGCTTCTATTTACGCCTGGTTTTAGGCTTGCCCCATTCCAGAGCAATTCCCCATAACTTATTATCATGTCGGAATAACAATACCCGAGGTTGAATATTACTCTATTTTTTGTAACAGTCGGCGACATCACGACAATAACACAGACCCTTTGGTGTAAAGCACATTTCCCTGGACATCAATAGACACTTTGCTGTGCACTGTAGAATCTGGTTGCATTAAGTTTGAATCACGTGCGTTGTAACAAAAGGGATCTGGTAACCAGAGTCGATTGATGTTCTCTCCTTTTATGGTAATTGCCTTGTCAAGCTTTCCAGTGAGTCTGTCATCTTTCCACTGCTGTCGCAAATAACCAAATACTTTAAATTCCTACAACAGAAATAAATCATTTCTGTTCTCATTATACTATTTACCCGTCCTTGAACGAATGAATAATTTACATTGACTTACAATTCATCGTCGTCGTTCCCAGGAGAGAAACCCTGAGTACAATCTCGAACACTCAGAAGTTTATTGCTTGTGTGGTAATCGAAGATTTTCAGGAAGGTTGTTAATGGCTGTGCAATAAGTCATCTCAAGTTATACTTCTTATGCCATGCTTTAGTAAATCATAATTTATTCTGTTATTTAAAAGTGATATTTTCTTTGCCATTTCGGTGGAAAGGCTTTTAAAGCCTGGCTTTCACTAGTGACGTGAGCACAAGCGCAAGCACAAGCGTAAACACAATAATTCTTATTTCACCGTGAAAACAGCCCTGACGCAGGCATAAGCACAAGCGCAAACACAAGCACAAGGATCAAAATTTTTCCTTTTTTCTTATGTTTGCACTTAACCTTGCGTTTGCGCTGCAACAAGTGAAAACGAAATACCGCTCAGGCATAACACAAGCACAAGGATATTTACCACACATGGTTATGTTTGCCCAATGAAAACGCTGGATGCAGATTACCTCGCGCCTAAACAGTTTTCCAAAACGGCGGAAGGCTCGGATGATTTTGCTTGTGTTTGCGTCGAATTTCGTTCTCATTCGGGTCATCCCTATTGCTTGCGTTTGTGCTTGCGCTTGTACTTGCGTTGCTGGTGAAAACCAGGCTTAAACAATCGAGAGTTTATCCTAATATACTTTTAATAGTTGATTTTATTTCTCATACACCTGACCTACCATGTCTGCCTCTTCTATATTTCCAAATGATTCAACGTAGAGATCTGTCAAGATTTCGACTGGACCTTCTGTGAGTAAAAATTTCCAGGCAAATTATTAAGGACGTTCGCGCGAAAATGTTACAGTCGATAGTTTTTTAAATTTTTACTGCTATCAGATAATGAGTTACTTGTGTCAGAAATGCCAAAAATTTGGGAGTCACCGACTTCGTTTCATAGATAAAGCGTGCGGAAAACTACCCTGATTTTGAAAAATTGGCGCACGTAATTCAGCATGGTCTGTAGGGGTTAAAAATATCGAAGGTGAGTCAACGGAGGCAAACGATCTTAGTCATATTTTGTAGAAGTGGGTCTGTTGCGTATTTAATTTCAGGTGTTGCCAACGTTTTCACAAAACTTAACCCTTCAAGAGGCCTTTGAAACATCCGCACAGATAAACGAAGAGCTAAAAAGAACGGAATTCGATGGTGCATTTTGCAAAATATTCAGACTTCTAATCGATAGATTTTCCTCACTTTTTCGCTAAACGTAGAAAATCGGTAGAAAAAAATGATCCATCAAAAGAAAAATAGGGATCCCCGAACGTCCAAGATCGTTCAATCCAGGCAGAGCTATAACAATGGCCATCTGCCCTATCAATGTTCATTTTATTACTTAGCGCGCGCTCGATGCATGACGTGGCGTGCGAATTTGCGTGCGCAGTAAGGATGTGCAGAAACAGTTAGCGCGAACGTCCTTAAACAATAAAAATAATATGAATCTAACGTAAGAATTTAAAATGCTACTACTATTACAGACTGACAGACAGACAAACTGACAGACAGGTAGACAGACAGACAGACAGACAATCTTTATTCAAGCGCGATTAAAATTAAAGCTCTGTAGCTTATGGGGCTGTGCAAAAACATAAACAATTACAATCACAATAAAACTTCGTACAAAGTATTAACATGATAGATACAGTTCGTCTAAAATTCGTCAATGGCAACATTCCACAGTATTGAGCCTCTGTTAGTGATGGAGGTTTTTACTATAATTCGTTTTGAAGCGTGACACCGTTAGTAATAACCAGATTGAGTTCATCCTACCTCCAAAACTGGGTCGCACCACTTGGTCATAATTTGAAAATAATCTTGACAACACTGATACAGAACTGCTGTTTTCTTTGGTTGAGGAGCTGTTAATGAAAGAAAGTGAAGCTGATTCGATCTTAACAGAGATGCTTAACAAAGATGAGCACTGATGCCTGGTACATAAGCCCGAGGCGGGTGGACTCCCATATAAAAGGGTCAGGATCACGGCTCTTCGGAAATTTTGAAAAGAACCCGTAAAAGGTACCAAGATCCTGTTTTTTGGGCGTGGCTTGAATTTTTTCACCCCTAAGAGGTACCAATTCTAAAACAACACATTTTCTCTTGTCATATTTTTTTTCCGGCTAAATACCCTAAAACTAGGTACCGCAAAAGTTCCCCCTATGGACATTTTGAAGCTGAACACCATAAAAAGTACCAAACAAAATCGCTATTTAAATCCTTAAAAATTACGACGAGCACCCCCGTCTTTTTTATATGGGAGTCCTCCAGGGTACATAAGATATCCCCTGTCTCACATAGTACCAGTATTATCCAACACAGAAGACAATCAAACTCGTGCGAAGGACAACGGAAAGTTTTCACCAATGATGCACTTGATTGCATTTCACGATCTCCCTTAGTTGAGGGGTTCTGAGACAACACAAGCTTGTCCAGCTAAAAATAAACATTACGATATTATAATTACAGGCCTACTAGAAAAAATTTTATAAACAGGAATTTTTGCTTTGAATTAGTTGTTTGATTCGCATCTTCAATAAAGCATTAGTCAGTCGTCATCTCTTACTTATTTCACCTCTTCGTTTCACATCAAGCTAATTTTAGGCCTCAGGCATTTATGATGAAATCATAAACATACTTTCTTTCAGCAAAAATGCTTCAAGCAGATGTGAAAAAAAACTTTCAGTTGACGTATTCTGGTATACCTTTATGCGTATACAGACAATTTTGGATTGACCTGTTTAGTAAAGAAAAGCAAAATCCGTTTTCGGATTCTTTCGGATTTAAGAATCCAATCCTAGATTTTCTAAAGAAACGCACCCTTATAAATTAAAAAAAAAAAATGCTAGCTACGCCCCTCTGTGCTTAATATGCATACAACAGTAGTTATCGTACTGTATTTTACAAAATAAGATTTGAGATATTTTTCCTATTAAACCGCTTTAATTGGCCAGTCGATGTTTGAAGTGAAATCAAACTATGGTTAAGCATTTCGTGAAACAAATTTTAACTTAGTTTAATTAAATAAAAATGAAATGTACTTACAGTTTTCCACTCAGCATGAGTATAAGAACAACACCAATAGTTTGGAAGCAGGACAGTCTTCCAGTCAAGGGTACTTCCATGTTTGGTCACAAGAATGTGAATTAGATGGAGCTTTCTTTAAGTGTGAAAATGATTGATTTCCACTGTAGATACATAATATATTGTTTGGTCATGAGAAAATAACTAAGATTAGCATTTGTATCTAGGTCGTCGTCTCTCTACATGTATGTGGAACTTAACAAGGAAGTCTTGAGAAAAGTTTACTTGCCAAGATGAATGTTGATTGAGAATGTATATGTGCATGAGCGTAGCCCAAGAAATGCTTAAACATTGGATCTCGGAAACGCAACGACAACAGCGCGTAGTTGAGTAATTTAGACTATTTATCTCTACGAGAAAAACCTGGAAACATCAATTCGAGGCGATACATAACATAGAACGTTATAAAATTATAGGATTTTCGCTAAGCTGATGACATGGAAAATATGTCCCTATTTGCTTTTATTGACACCCTATTTATCATGCACGCGCATTAAATATTGCTTTGTAGTCCACCGGATATTTCTCTATGCTTCCAGATTTTGAAATTTTATCATGAAATTCAGACTTTACCAGTCGAGATATCAATATCCGTATGTTGAGTTATTTGCCTTGGATCCCCGTAAGATCTATAAAACAGATTTCAACGGTGATGTTTGGGTCCACCAGTTGATCTGTGTACCTTAGGGATCTTAAATAAGTGAAACATACGGTTTGATAAGTATATAGGTAAACGTGAATATATACATATTTTTCAAATGAATAGCAGGGCGGGACCCTTGTGGCAAGGTACAATTTCTACGTTGATATTAGCACTTACCGTTATCCATGCGGCGTTTTCTCCCTGCAGGGAAATAAATCCAATAACACTGCTGGCGAAAGCAGCCAAGCAGTCGTGAAATAACGAAAGAATTGTATGTGAATAATTTAGAGACGGTCCGTACATTAAAAATACGTAACTAATTCCTGTAACTGCATCCAATTGCCAATTCACGAAACAAAAATACATTATTTGTAACCTAATTTCCAAGGGAAACACGGGCACCCAACATCTGTAAGGATGCGCAAACAAAAAACACATTACTCTCCTTTCATGTTGATAGTAATTTAAAACTCACACACAAGAATGAGTTTGTATCATCGCTTACTGTGTTTAGAAAATTTATCCTCGTTTTGTCTGGCATCTTAATTTTAAGTGTGAAAACAAAACCACTCGCTAAAGGTGGTATGATATTGGCTAGAAATTTCCAGATCGATCTAACACCCTCGGTACTATTGAAATGAAATTGTTTACACCAATTTCTTTTATCAGGTTAGTATTTTAAGTGCATATACATATTTTTTTTCTCATTGTCAACGAAGCGCTTTTATAAAAATATGATTTGTTTATGACGTACGTAGACGACTATTAGATTTATTACAGAACTTTTAGAGTTTTTCCAACACAGCACACGAAACACTAATATCTCATTGCATCGACTTCAAAGAGCCAAAAATCATAAACCCACCAAGTTATTACAAAGTATATTTTCTTATTTTCAAGATGTGTTTGTATATCGAGAAGCAATATACATATGTTATTATCAAGACAATGGTAATCAGACATCGGTTTTGAGTGAAATTCAATATTAATTTACGCGAATGATTTCTTCAGGTACTGAAATCGTTATACGTTCTCGCCCGCAGGGCTGTTAATCGTCGAGCAATTGTTCAATTCTGTCAAAAAAAGTGAATGATAACAAAATTATCTGAAGGCCAAACAATAATCTTTATAATATCCGACGAAGTCGTTTCTCGGATGTAGGACTCGCTATAGAACTGAATGCACCATGCATGTTAATTATGCGCAATTGATGAAAATTAAACATATAAGTTAGCTCATTGATCAGTTGCTTGGCATGTTTTTCTATCACTTTCTGTTGTAAGTTATAAAAAGAACTACAACAAACTCAAAGATGAAAATAAACAGTCCGGTCACACTTATTTTGCTAACTACTAAACGTGGTACAGTAAGAAGAAATATAGGCGAACACTTGTTTCGTGCACGACGGAACTCCCTGACTCTGTCAAGTATACACATATTAGAATTAACACTTTTAAAAACTTCGCTACATACGATCAAATTTTATTTTTCCCAGCGCACTTTGTTTTACACGGCTAACTAACTTTTATTTTAGAGCTTGTTTGCAAAGGGTCTTGATAGTTGCAGACAAGGATGACAGAAGTTTCCGTCGAAACATATTTGATAAACTCAAACGTTTTGTTGTTTTCGTGAAGAACTTGTTTACAATTAAGCGAAAATATTTTATATAAAAGGATTACAGGATTATATCTAAAAAAGTTTCTGCAGCCTCTGCAGCCATAGGCAAGTTTTTACGAGCCTAGTGACCTAAAGCTTCGGACGCTTACTTAAGTCTGTGGTAGTAGTATAATGGGTACGACAAGGGCCCGGTTTTGCGAGGTGTATGTAAAAACTATTACCCTTGTGTGCCCTCGCGTAGACAGATATATTTCAACAAAAGAAAAAAAAAAAAATTAAAAAAAGATTCAAGCAAGCCAACTCCGATTATATGACAAAAGGACTACTCTTCAATATCCCTTTTTAGATTTTCTTGAGCGGACAACAACTAGCTTGGAAACATTATTATTTTTTGAAAAAGTTCCATCTCATTAGTTTCGCCGCTTCCGTTGCAAGCGAGGCCCTGCTCAACCCGCCGGGGTACGAACCTGGCCAAACCCATTCCGCAACTCCCGTTAGTAGTAAGTCCAATAGAAAATATTATAGCACAGGAAGACCAGAGGAAACAACACACGTGACGCCTGGTCAATTACGTCAGCTATCTTTGACATCTTTTTGTTTCCATTGTTGTCATCCGGTGGCCCGTCATCCACCACGGCCTTGTTTGCCTTGGTAGCTCTGTAAACCATTTCAAGGTCATCTTCAGATCCCATATTTGGAACTCCATGAACCTCGCCATTGGCAGAGGGAGAGCTGACGTCATTCTTTGAGCCAATCACTGATTTAAACGANTGCATTAAGTTTGAATCACGTGCGTTGTAACAAAAGGGATCTGGTAACCAGAGTCGATTGATGTTCTCTCCTTTTATGGTAATTGCCTTGTCAAGCTTTCCAGTGAGTCTGTCATCTTTCCACTGCTGTCGCAAATAACCAAATACTTTAAATTCCTACAACAGAAATAAATCATTTCTGTTCTCATTATACTATTTACCCGTCCTTGAACGAATGAATAATTTACATTGACTTACAATTCATCGTCGTCGTTCCCAGGAGAGAAACCCTGAGTACAATCTCGAACACTCAGAAGTTTATTGCTTGTGTGGTAATCGAAGATTTTCAGGAAGGTTGTTAATGGCTGTGCAATAAGTCATCTCAAGTTATACTTCTTATGCCATGCTTTAGTAAATCATAATTTATTCTGTTATTTAAAAGTGATATTTTCTTTGCCATTTCGGTGGAAAGGCTTTTAAAGCCTGGCTTTCACTAGTGACGTGAGCACAAGCGCAAGCACAAGCGTAAACACAATAATTCTTATTTCACCGTGAAAACAGCCCTGACGCAGGCATAAGCACAAGCGCAAACACAAGCACAAGGATCAAAATTTTTCCTTTTTTCTTATGTTTGCACTTAACCTTGCGTTTGCGCTGCAACAAGTGAAAACGAAATACCGCTCAGGCATAACACAAGCACAAGGATATTTACCACACATGGTTATGTTTGCCCAATGAAAACGCTGGATGCAGATTACCTCGCGCCTAAACAGTTTTCCAAAACGGCGGAAGGCTCGGATGATTTTGCTTGTGTTTGCGTCGAATTTCGTTCTCATTCGGGTCATCCCTATTGCTTGCGTTTGTGCTTGCGCTTGTACTTGCGTTGCTGGTGAAAACCAGGCTTAAACAATCGAGAGTTTATCCTAATATACTTTTAATAGTTGATTTTATTTCTCATACACCTGACCTACCATGTCTGCCTCTTCTATATTTCCAAATGATTCAACGTAGAGATCTGTCAAGATTTCGACTGGACCTTCTGTGAGTAAAAATTTCCAGGCAAATTATTAAGGACGTTCGCGCGAAAATGTTACAGTCGATAGTTTTTTAAATTTTTACTGCTATCAGATAATGAGTTACTTGTGTCAGAAATGCCAAAAATTTGGGAGTCACCGACTTCGTTTCATAGATAAAGCGTGCGGAAAACTACCCTGATTTTGAAAAATTGGCGCACGTAATTCAGCATGGTCTGTAGGGGTTAAAAATATCGAAGGTGAGTCAACGGAGGCAAACGATCTTAGTCATATTTTGTAGAAGTGGGTCTGTTGCGTATTTAATTTCAGGTGTTGCCAACGTTTTCACAAAACTTAACCCTTCAAGAGGCCTTTGAAACATCCGCACAGATAAACGAAGAGCTAAAAAGAACGGAATTCGATGGTGCATTTTGCAAAATATTCAGACTTCTAATCGATAGATTTTCCTCACTTTTTCGCTAAACGTAGAAAATCGGTAGAAAAAAATGATCCATCAAAAGAAAAATAGGGATCCCCGAACGTCCAAGATCGTTCAATCCAGGCAGAGCTATAACAATGGCCATCTGCCCTATCAATGTTCATTTTATTACTTAGCGCGCGCTCGATGCATGACGTGGCGTGCGAATTTGCGTGCGCAGTAAGGATGTGCAGAAACAGTTAGCGCGAACGTCCTTAAACAATAAAAATAATATGAATCTAACGTAAGAATTTAAAATGCTACTACTATTACAGACTGACAGACAGACAAACTGACAGACAGGTAGACAGACAGACAGACAGACAATCTTTATTCAAGCGCGATTAAAATTAAAGCTCTGTAGCTTATGGGGCTGTGCAAAAACATAAACAATTACAATCACAATAAAACTTCGTACAAAGTATTAACATGATAGATACAGTTCGTCTAAAATTCGTCAATGGCAACATTCCACAGTATTGAGCCTCTGTTAGTGATGGAGGTTTTTACTATAATTCGTTTTGAAGCGTGACACCGTTAGTAATAACCAGATTGAGTTCATCCTACCTCCAAAACTGGGTCGCACCACTTGGTCATAATTTGAAAATAATCTTGACAACACTGATACAGAACTGCTGTTTTCTTTGGTTGAGGAGCTGTTAATGAAAGAAAGTGAAGCTGATTCGATCTTAACAGAGATGCTTAACAAAGATGAGCACTGATGCCTGGTACATAAGCCCGAGGCGGGTGGACTCCCATATAAAAGGGTCAGGATCACGGCTCTTCGGAAATTTTGAAAAGAACCCGTAAAAGGTACCAAGATCCTGTTTTTTGGGCGTGGCTTGAATTTTTTCACCCCTAAGAGGTACCAATTCTAAAACAACACATTTTCTCTTGTCATATTTTTTTTCCGGCTAAATACCCTAAAACTAGGTACCGCAAAAGTTCCCCCTATGGACATTTTGAAGCTGAACACCATAAAAAGTACCAAACAAAATCGCTATTTAAATCCTTAAAAATTACGACGAGCACCCCCGTCTTTTTTATATGGGAGTCCTCCAGGGTACATAAGATATCCCCTGTCTCACATAGTACCAGTATTATCCAACACAGAAGACAATCAAACTCGTGCGAAGGACAACGGAAAGTTTTCACCAATGATGCACTTGATTGCATTTCACGATCTCCCTTAGTTGAGGGGTTCTGAGACAACACAAGCTTGTCCAGCTAAAAATAAACATTACGATATTATAATTACAGGCCTACTAGAAAAAATTTTATAAACAGGAATTTTTGCTTTGAATTAGTTGTTTGATTCGCATCTTCAATAAAGCATTAGTCAGTCGTCATCTCTTACTTATTTCACCTCTTCGTTTCACATCAAGCTAATTTTAGGCCTCAGGCATTTATGATGAAATCATAAACATACTTTCTTTCAGCAAAAATGCTTCAAGCAGATGTGAAAAAAAACTTTCAGTTGACGTATTCTGGTATACCTTTATGCGTATACAGACAATTTTGGATTGACCTGTTTAGTAAAGAAAAGCAAAATCCGTTTTCGGATTCTTTCGGATTTAAGAATCCAATCCTAGATTTTCTAAAGAAACGCACCCTTATAAATTAAAAAAAAAAAATGCTAGCTACGCCCCTCTGTGCTTAATATGCATACAACAGTAGTTATCGTACTGTATTTTACAAAATAAGATTTGAGATATTTTTCCTATTAAACCGCTTTAATTGGCCAGTCGATGTTTGAAGTGAAATCAAACTATGGTTAAGCATTTCGTGAAACAAATTTTAACTTAGTTTAATTAAATAAAAATGAAATGTACTTACAGTTTTCCACTCAGCATGAGTATAAGAACAACACCAATAGTTTGGAAGCAGGACAGTCTTCCAGTCAAGGGTACTTCCATGTTTGGTCACAAGAATGTGAATTAGATGGAGCTTTCTTTAAGTGTGAAAATGATTGATTTCCACTGTAGATACATAATATATTGTTTGGTCATGAGAAAATAACTAAGATTAGCATTTGTATCTAGGTCGTCGTCTCTCTACATGTATGTGGAACTTAACAAGGAAGTCTTGAGAAAAGTTTACTTGCCAAGATGAATGTTGATTGAGAATGTATATGTGCATGAGCGTAGCCCAAGAAATGCTTAAACATTGGATCTCGGAAACGCAACGACAACAGCGCGTAGTTGAGTAATTTAGACTATTTATCTCTACGAGAAAAACCTGGAAACATCAATTCGAGGCGATACATAACATAGAACGTTATAAAATTATAGGATTTTCGCTAAGCTGATGACATGGAAAATATGTCCCTATTTGCTTTTATTGACACCCTATTTATCATGCACGCGCATTAAATATTGCTTTGTAGTCCACCGGATATTTCTCTATGCTTCCAGATTTTGAAATTTTATCATGAAATTCAGACTTTACCAGTCGAGATATCAATATCCGTATGTTGAGTTATTTGCCTTGGATCCCCGTAAGATCTATAAAACAGATTTCAACGGTGATGTTTGGGTCCACCAGTTGATCTGTGTACCTTAGGGATCTTAAATAAGTGAAACATACGGTTTGATAAGTATATAGGTAAACGTGAATATATACATATTTTTCAAATGAATAGCAGGGCGGGACCCTTGTGGCAAGGTACAATTTCTACGTTGATATTAGCACTTACCGTTATCCATGCGGCGTTTTCTCCCTGCAGGGAAATAAATCCAATAACACTGCTGGCGAAAGCAGCCAAGCAGTCGTGAAATAACGAAAGAATTGTATGTGAATAATTTAGAGACGGTCCGTACATTAAAAATACGTAACTAATTCCTGTAACTGCATCCAATTGCCAATTCACGAAACAAAAATACATTATTTGTAACCTAATTTCCAAGGGAAACACGGGCACCCAACATCTGTAAGGATGCGCAAACAAAAAACACATTACTCTCCTTTCATGTTGATAGTAATTTAAAACTCACACACAAGAATGAGTTTGTATCATCGCTTACTGTGTTTAGAAAATTTATCCTCGTTTTGTCTGGCATCTTAATTTTAAGTGTGAAAACAAAACCACTCGCTAAAGGTGGTATGATATTGGCTAGAAATTTCCAGATCGATCTAACACCCTCGGTACTATTGAAATGAAATTGTTTACACCAATTTCTTTTATCAGGTTAGTATTTTAAGTGCATATACATATTTTTTTTCTCATTGTCAACGAAGCGCTTTTATAAAAATATGATTTGTTTATGACGTACGTAGACGACTATTAGATTTATTACAGAACTTTTAGAGTTTTTCCAACACAGCACACGAAACACTAATATCTCATTGCATCGACTTCAAAGAGCCAAAAATCATAAACCCACCAAGTTATTACAAAGTATATTTTCTTATTTTCAAGATGTGTTTGTATATCGAGAAGCAATATACATATGTTATTATCAAGACAATGGTAATCAGACATCGGTTTTGAGTGAAATTCAATATTAATTTACGCGAATGATTTCTTCAGGTACTGAAATCGTTATACGTTCTCGCCCGCAGGGCTGTTAATCGTCGAGCAATTGTTCAATTCTGTCAAAAAAAGTGAATGATAACAAAATTATCTGAAGGCCAAACAATAATCTTTATAATATCCGACGAAGTCGTTTCTCGGATGTAGGACTCGCTATAGAACTGAATGCACCATGCATGTTAATTATGCGCAATTGATGAAAATTAAACATATAAGTTAGCTCATTGATCAGTTGCTTGGCATGTTTTTCTATCACTTTCTGTTGTAAGTTATAAAAAGAACTACAACAAACTCAAAGATGAAAATAAACAGTCCGGTCACACTTATTTTGCTAACTACTAAACGTGGTACAGTAAGAAGAAATATAGGCGAACACTTGTTTCGTGCACGACGGAACTCCCTGACTCTGTCAAGTATACACATATTAGAATTAACACTTTTAAAAACTTCGCTACATACGATCAAATTTTATTTTTCCCAGCGCACTTTGTTTTACACGGCTAACTAACTTTTATTTTAGAGCTTGTTTGCAAAGGGTCTTGATAGTTGCAGACAAGGATGACAGAAGTTTCCGTCGAAACATATTTGATAAACTCAAACGTTTTGTTGTTTTCGTGAAGAACTTGTTTACAATTAAGCGAAAATATTTTATATAAAAGGATTACAGGATTATATCTAAAAAAGTTTCTGCAGCCTCTGCAGCCATAGGCAAGTTTTTACGAGCCTAGTGACCTAAAGCTTCGGACGCTTACTTAAGTCTGTGGTAGTAGTATAATGGGTACGACAAGGGCCCGGTTTTGCGAGGTGTATGTAAAAACTATTACCCTTGTGTGCCCTCGCGTAGACAGATATATTTCAACAAAAGAAAAAAAAAAAAATTAAAAAAAGATTCAAGCAAGCCAACTCCGATTATATGACAAAAGGACTACTCTTCAATATCCCTTTTTAGATTTTCTTGAGCGGACAACAACTAGCTTGGAAACATTATTATTTTTTGAAAAAGTTCCATCTCATTAGTTTCGCCGCTTCCGTTGCAAGCGAGGCCCTGCTCAACCCGCCGGGGTACGAACCTGGCCAAACCCATTCCGCAACTCCCGTTAGTAGTAAGTCCAATAGAAAATATTATAGCACAGGAAGACCAGAGGAAACAACACACGTGACGCCTGGTCAATTACGTCAGCTATCTTTGACATCTTTTTGTTTCCATTGTTGTCATCCGGTGGCCCGTCATCCACCACGGCCTTGTTTGCCTTGGTAGCTCTGTAAACCATTTCAAGGTCATCTTCAGATCCCATATTTGGAACTCCATGAACCTCGCCATTGGCAGAGGGAGAGCTGACGTCATTCTTTGAGCCAATCACTGATTTAAACGACGCGGTGACTCTTTTCGACAGAGGAATTTTGTCTTTCTAAAAGAAAAATGCACAACCAGAATTACATTTCATAAACGTTAATTGCAACCTACAAGAACGCCTTTAATGATAATAAAAGCTCATTTCATATTTCAACTGATGAATGTTGAAACTGACAATGAGACACGACACAGTTTTTCATGCTTCAAATATTTGTAATCAAGTCATTTTTTTGAAGTTCTTCAGCTTTGTTGGGGTATAAAAATGATTAGCAAGCGAAATTTAGAAAGCTTGATATAATTTCTAATAGACGGGGCTTGGTAAAGGTTAAAACAGTGGCATATACATACGTTCTAGTAAAATTATTTCACTGAAGTCTACAGCAAAGTTATTTCATTTTCACTACATTCCATTTGCTTGCTTTCATTTTGCGGGCCTAAAAATTGGATTTGAATTGAGTGAACAAACAATTTAAGTGATTTCCTATGGATCGTACAGCTGCTTTCATAATCGTTGCACTCGATTATACTTTAGCCATTGTAAGATTTTTGGACCCCTAAAGTCTCGTTTACCCGAAATTTGTCAGTTCTGTTGGACTTTCTTTAGGCTTTTAATTTTTTTTGTCCCAGTCTCCTCCAGTCGTAGCCATCCATGCTCTTTCTTTGGTTTTCCAAGGTAGTTTGCCAAGGGAAACAAACACCAAAGAAAAGAGAAGCTGAGAAAAAACAAGGATGACTTTAAATAAAAAAGATAATGTCTGCATATGAGCCAAGTGGCCCATTAGGCCGGCGCTTATCTTCGATTTCAGTGGCATGTAGTAGTAGTAGTAGTAGTAGTAGTAGTAGTAGTAGTAGTAGTAGTAGTAGTAGTATACTTTATTTACCCTCGGATTGTAGAGTAGCTTTAACAGCTAATGTCTCCGAGCATTTCAACAGCACAAGCTTCGTGCCCTACTCTTTACGATGAGTGTGTTGGTTCTTTAACGTCCCCTGCTGACCATAACAGTGAAGATGCAGGAGACGGGGCCTACGGTTTATCGTCCTTATCCGAGAAGACTAGAATATCTAACCATTTGCAGATGTCATTGCAAAGGCAGCATATTCTCCTCAGTTATTTTAAGACCCTGAGTGTTGGTCCGGTCTGGGACTCGAACCCGAGACCTCCCGCATGGTAGTCCGACGCTCTACCAACTGAGCTAACCGGTCGGCGGTAGTAGTCTCTATTGGAATGACACCAGTAGAGACTAGCTGTATTTCTATTCCATCGCAAGGTTACCCAAGCATTTAATTCGCCGGTACCCATTTACACGCCTGGGTGGAGAGAGGCACTGTGAGAGTAAAGCACGGTGTCTTGCCCAAGAACACAACACAATGTTCCCGGCCAGGGCTAAAGCCCAGACCACTCGATCCGGAGGAGTGCGCACTAACCATGAGGCCACCACGCCTCCACAGAAGATCGATTTTAATTCAATCGATTTAAAAGCAATTTTGCGCATCACACAGAGTTTACCTTTAATTTAATTTGCTCCTTGTCTTGTTTGGCGCTAACTGTAAACACATACACGATCATGCATTCAATCAAGGACAGAAACACAAAGCAGAATGACACTAGTAGATACCAGTCCAGTGCTTTCGGATAGCTGACTTTAGGCAAGTTGCCATTGAGGGATCCAAGAAGAAACATAATGGTTAAGATGGTGGTGATTCCAAGAGCCATTCTGTTCCCAATATCATCTCTTTCCATCCAGAAAACAATCCAGCTTAGCATCACAACGAAAATGTTTGGGAAGTAAACTTGAATAAGAAAGTAGCCAATGCGCCGCTGGAATGAAAACGTAGCTGTTATTGTGGAGAAATTCCCTGTACGAAGTAAAGAACAACACGCAGTGTTTAAACAAAGATCAAGTCTAATGTAATTACGCGGTTTAAGGCTCAAACTCACACTTTACCATTTATGTAAAAATTATGGGCAAGAGTTTCATGCAGCCGACCAGGCCAAGGGATGCAAAACTGTGTGCAGGATTCACAATTACTTCTTAGGCCATATTTGAAATAATAGTGTTATCAAATAGCCTTAAAAACGACTGAAAACAGCAGATTGACATTAGGACAGCTCAACAAAAAACAAATTGCCATCTTTGGGTAAAAGCTGAAAAGCCATAAGACAAGAAATTAAGAAATTAAATGGCCTGTAGCCGCTTTTGCACCAAACAGGAGGAGTCAGGAGGAGTTGACACAGTCAGGAGAAGGCGCACAGAGCAATTCAAAACTTTAATAACAATTGAAATAAATAACAGTTTACATGCAACAAATCTAATCTGATTACTTACCCACACTAAAGACCTCCATTTCTTTTGACAACTTGGAGCCTTTGTATTCAAATTGAGCCATTTCTGTGTTTCCAACAACAACTTCAGTTGCTTCAGGGACCCACTCATATATAATGTCTCTAGTGGAATATGCATCTGTGGAATTTAAAATAAAGAATAGCTGTCAAGAGAACCATCTTTAACTGCAACTTTAAGAATTTTCTTTGTAATCAAATTGGTAAAAATGACAAAGAGGCCTGAAACGTCCTCATTTAAAGCTAATAAGATGAAAATTCTCAAGGGTGTTTGACGGAAAAGTCGTCTCAGTGATTACTGATAAATTGTTTTACTTGTAAGCCAAAAGCTACCACACATTTATTCATTGTATTGCCAGTTACACAAATGTTCTCCTCCTATTTGTTCAACACTTTTTTGCAACGACACTTACAACTTCCAAACTTCAGTGAGCACTCTTGAGAATCCAATGGAAAATGCTTCAGATCCATAACACAGGAAGCCACCAGAGTTACTCTGTGATAAACATGACTTAAAAGTGAGCGTTGTAAACAAGGATATCGTCGTATCATCGTATAAGTGGATTTCAACTTACATGAGCAGAGTAATACAGTAGCCTCTATCGAGATTCCACAATTTGCCAGCAGCCATGAATAATCTTAGGCGGAGAGAGGCGTGGCCGTTAAAGCAAAGTAGTTTGCTCAAGAACGTAAGACCACGAAGTATAAAGTAGCAATTGCATTTGTTCCTGTTTTTTTTTTTAACCAGTAATTATGACCGAGCGTCTATTTGCTTCTTGTTTTAAAAAATATCTACATTATTAGAAACATTTCATCATAACATTCTGTTATCGATTCAACAATTTTTGGTCCAAATATATTAGAACTTACATGTTAAGCCATTGTCTTTGTGGAGTTGCATGAACGCAAATCCACTTCTTCGGCGACGCTCCGTGGACACAAGATGATGATGGCTTAAATATCCTCAACTCTTAACGTTCTTAGGCCAAGAATAACCACTTCACTTTTCAACTCACCCTTTGCTGTATATGATATCTCCACTGGGTTGAATGTGCACGAAGTTATGGATTTCTTCGTTTGGCATCACCATGTTGGTTTCACGTGCGTTGTAACAGAAAGGATCAGGGACCCAAATGTTGTCGATCTCACCTCCTTTTATGGTAAATGTACTGTTGAGCTTCCCTGCCAGGCGTGAATCTTTCCACATTTGTCGAAAATAACTGTACACTTTGAATTCCTAATGATTAAGCAGACATAAAGATCAGTGATGTTACTATCACTGGAAATGACGTCGAATGCTATACATGCTCTCTGATGTTGCAGCCTCTGGTATTGTCTTAAGTTAGTGACAGAAAAAAGAAAGAAACGTGTGAATAGTAGAGGGACAGCTCTAAATCCCGGGCCCTGAATGTAAGGCAGGTACATGCACTACGGCAGAAGGCTTGAACTACCAGGCTACCAGCTTTGCATTCAGTTTTGATTTTACACTTCTAGTGACGGCTGGTACGAGCAACCTACAGAAAGAAATCTTGCAACTTAACAAGTTCTTTCTCACCTTGCATCATTTGTAACGTATTTCTGCATCAAAAATATCTTAATCTTTAAAAAAATTTCCCTATGTATTAAACCAATCAGCTCATGTACTCCAATGATGTCGACGAAGTCGATGACCATTTTAACTGCAGCCTCAAGGCAGCCCAAATCCCCCCCCCCCCACCCCCAGCCATTCCTAGAAGAAACAGATAATGACGAAGACTAAATGGAACTTTCTAGTTTCTGTTACTGTGTCACTGAAATCCTTTTCCCAAGTTTGAGACAGCGTTTGATTATCAAAGGGCGCCCTTGATGTGGGTTGGCTAACATGACAGAACTAGTAACCCTTTTCAATAGGGTGGAAACGTTTCCCCAGTATCTTCTCTTAAGTGTGTTCGAATTAGTCAGGTTCATATTGATTCGTTCGTGAGAAGAAGGAGTGTTCCCATACGCATACGTCAGGAGATAAAATCATTGTACATACCATATTAGCCTCTTCTATGTTTCCAAACGATTCCACATAGATACTTGTAAAAATGGTTGTGGGATTACCTTTTACCAGAAAATGAGAAAAAATGAAAGAAAACCATTTTGCTTCAGACACGATTTGACATAAAAAAAATAGATAAATTACTTTTCTTTATAAGCAGCAAGGCGTTACTCAAATCCGACTGACTTCTATGTCATGACCCTTCCATACTTACCAAAGTCTGGTCTGGTGACTTTGTCGTAGCCGGAGAAAAGTGTTGAAATCATTCCGTTATCACCAGCTGTACTGTTGGAAGTAATTAATGGAAATCATACTCAAAATTACATTTAATCTGTGGCACAATGAGCACACACTTGTATCAGACTAGCTCATAAATACTATATATTTAAAGGACTACATCAGGTAGTTTTTTAAAGAAAGAACAACGAAGACTAACAAACTTACTAACAAAAGGCAAGAGTTAAATGAATATTTTCACAGCAAGGATCCCTACTAGAACTTTACTTTTTTAAATTTTTTTTAAAATAGTTTTGGTGACTATAACTAAATAAAGGCGCTTCATGAAACAATGCTCAAGAATAGCGCTTTTAGCTTTAAAAAATGCTAAATAGGTATACTTCTGTTAATAAGATGTACCCTCATTTAACATGTAGTCACTAAACTCTACACAAACAATGTCAAGAGTTCAATGCTCGAGTGATTTCACTGCACGTGGAAGTGAATTCAGCAACAAATCATTCCTGTCGTCTGTTTTTAGTTACTAGCCCAATCAACTGTTTTTATGGTGTCATGCCTTCAATCTGAGACAGATAATTATCAACTATATATATTTAGGTCCTAGATTTTGGATTGGTCTGATTAGGGCAAATTCTCCATAGTTTAAGACCAAAACGGCTTAGAAGTCTTGCAAAACATTTAAAACATCTACCATGACTGTGAACATCGTCCACATAATCAGGAAAATACTGATACTTTAGCCTGTCCAGACGTTTACCTTTTTTGCTGCGAGTTATTTTCCTTCGAGCGCACGAGGGATGCTTCTCATAAGAAGTCCACAGACCCTCTATATTTGTCTTTCCCCAGCCCACCCCCTTGCGTTTTGGCTCGTTAATGTCCCACTCGCAGGGTTAATAGCTGGCTAAGCTTGCGATATCGACGAACTCAGGACAAAATAGAAAGTCTGTGGACAGACTACTGATACTTACATGCTAGGAAGTACTAGCAGATAGATTATTAAAACGTATGTCTGGAGTAAAAGCCTCTGTGTGGGATGAAGTTTCATATTTGCTAAAAAAATAAGTAAAAAACAATAGTTAGGGTCTAAACTTTCTACGAACTGAATGTGAAGTTAACGACTACCAGAATTGCAACTGCGGGGTAACAATCGAATACGGGTGACAATTATTGTAGCTGTGTAGCGAGGAGAGATTGCATGAGGGCTGGAATGGTAGCCATGCATGAATATCGATCGATCTGAAAGCGTCATTTATACGTAAAGTCGAGGTTAATATGCTCAATTTATATCGGTTTTCTCTTATGCTCACGGCTAATCGGTTGGTCTGACACAGGAACCGAGAATAGTGGAATGCAGAGTGATGAAAGGTTCAGACTGCTACTGTAAATTTTGGATTTTCATTTTCCGGGATAAGCGAAGAAAATGATCGATCATAGCTAAGCCCTGAGATCTGAGCATAGGTATTAGAATGTTTGCGGTTTAACAGTGCATAACTCCCATTAGGAGCAATATTGAAAGTTAACAAATAAATTAAAGCGTTTAGAGTCAATATGGCTGACTCTAGAGGTAAGCAAAACACTTTAAGCAAACAAAACACGGACTCGATTAAGGAAGAGCAAGTGGCACTTCAAATAATCCAATTGTCGAAGCACTGTTTACCCATGAAAAAATCAGTGGAAGGAATGTCTAATTGTTTAAACATGACTAACGGTAGAAACATTTGTAATATTCCCCTTTGTGAATTTTCCATTGTTCGCTAGCCGTATAAACCAAATGGAAGTATTTGGTACAGATGTTTAATTCAATTAATGTCAAGAACAGTTGTCATTTCTTATATACTGATAATTCTCTTTGTAACTTTCAGAACCAGGCCTCGAGTAAACATTATCGATTGGAAATTCAGACTCTTGTCTGCCGATGGCATCCTACTGTACCAAATATATTCAATCGTAAAACGCCGACAAATGCCTGTAAATATTAACTTAAGTGTGACGCAGTTGCTGTTCAAATTCTAGGATTATTTAAGTAATTTTGAGAGTGCTCTTGTGTCCTGAATGAGGGTGAAGGTGTTCACTGCTTGCCACTCACAACCTGAAACCAAAGTGGCAACGTTTAACGGAAAGGATAATTATTTTCCTATTTGAATTCCTTACAACTGGAGCTTCGGGCTAACTTGCTGAGCGTTTGACATGCAAACGGATCGAAGATGGAAAGACTAATAAGTCCAAGCAACTTCGTGGAATACTCTTGCTTGCTCTTTTACTTGTACTTTTCGCAAGTGCAGTACCGCTCATCTATTAGGTGTATATTTGTGTCCTTTTGTCAAAACTTAGCTCAAAGTTTGACTTTGCAATATAGTTTGAAAAACAAGTCCTTGGCCATTTCATATCAATAATTATTCGAGGCTTACGTTTTTCACATATGGCTGATTGACATACTTCTAAAGAATTTTGTCACCTTATGTTGTTAAACGACCCTGAGCCGCAACACTTGTGATTCCGGTGTCCATGGCAAAACTGGCTCGTGATAATTTAAAAGAAGGTCAGTAGAGGATGACGGCTAATCAGAAACAGCTTTCATGTGAAACTCGCATCTGATTCCATAATTTGAAGTAGCAACATCAGTAAACAAGCTTTATTAACTAAGGGAGGGACTTTCGGTATGAGGGCAGAAGAGGGAATGGAACTCCAGCGACTGTTAAAGCAGTGTTGACATCTGCGTCAATCACGAAACATTGCATGCAATTACTGAAACGCTTTCGTTTCTGTGGTCACGCTGACGTTTAGAAAAAGTTATGTCGACTAGATAAGTAGAGTACAAGACTGTACTAGAGGATAAGGCATAAATTAGATAATGCCAAACTCACCAGAATACGTGGAGATGTACATACGACAGCTTGTCTGGACACGTCGCGAAAATGGATTTTTTAATTAAAATTATTTTGTGCTTCATTGATTTGCTAAAGAGCCTCATGGGCACTTATTTGCATTTTCTGAAATACTCATTTGTGGACCCTCGTATTCATTCATGACGGGTAGCTGTCAGTTTGCCAGGAAAATAAAAACTAATATATAAACGGACCAATGTAAACAAGATTATTATTTTTTTAACTTTTAAGTTAAAAACACATTTTGATATAATAATCATGTTTTAAAAAAGAATTGAAGTGGCTTACCAACCGAACTAATTTTAACTACAGAAACGATTGTATAGAATCAAATTAGCTGATCCACGGCGCTAGATTACGGCTTCGAACAAGCCAGCATTTAATTTAAAAGTTATAACACAACACGTCTTTACCGTTGTGTCGTTCTTTCTAAATGCATCTAGGGGTCCTGACTAGTCAGGTGATTGTCTTTAGCTATATCTTTCTATATGTCTGTCTGTCTGTCTATTTGTCACTCAGTCTGCCTGTCTGCCTGTCTGTCTTTCTGTTCGTCTACAGTGAAACCTTTAAGCGGACACCCTCTTTCAAGTGGACACCAGCTTGACTCCCAAAATTTTCTTCCCACATTTACTGTAAAATAAACCTGCATTCAGCGGACACCTCTGTTAACCGGACACGGACACCAATATTAAGCCATTTTGTTGCCCAAAAACTCAATAAGAGGACACTTCAAAGGCTTTTTACCTCTAAAAGCTCAACTCAAGACTCCTTTAACATTGCTCAGCGATGTCGTTTTAAAGCCAAGAAGATCATTCCAGATTGATGCATTGACTGACTGGACATTGTGCTATGAGTAGTCATTGATCTTACACTTTGTTACATTGTATTACAAAAAGGTTAATAATTAACTATCATTGCACAATGTATTAGAACCTGCTTATAGCACACACCCTGTAAGCGGACAATAGTGAGTGTCCCAAGGGTGTCCGCTTAATACAGGTTTCACTGCGTATCTGTCTGTCTGTCTCTCTGTCTGTCTGTATGTCTGTCTGTCGGTCGGTGGGTCGGTGGGTCGGTCTCTCAGTCAGCCAGTCAGTCAAGTAATGATCGAACAAAGTTGTTAGTTCCCGAAGAAGCTCGTGCTATTGCAATTTGTTTGCAAGTGAAACACTCAGCTTTTCATCAAACTGAACTTTTTAACACTGCATTAACCAACATAGCGAGTTCGTGAAGCTGAAATTTCGAGCATTTCGAGGCATACACCTCAACTTGGAGATTGAGAAACAGTTATCCTCCAGATAATCCTGTTAAAACACATGTTTGCGCATGACATGATCAGCGACACGAACGAGTAATCCCCTAAATATGACCAACGCTGCGCTGCAAATCCATTTCTTGCTTGGACGGTTTTTGAAATACAGCATTTCGTAAATCTAGAGATATAAAAGTGCTTCTACTCGTTTATAATTCACATTCCAGATGAATACGTTCAGTTACAGTGAGAAATCTTGAGATCTCTGCGAGCGCAATGACGTCATAAATTACCATAAAGTAAACATGGCGACGCCCAGGGATTTTAGCTGAAAACCAAACACTTCGTATTCGAACCACTTACAGAGATATCAGCTTAAGGCCGCAGGATCATTTAAATAGAGCCATTAGGTTTACTTTGGAACTTGAACTGCTTTTCAGCCAGTAAATTGGTGCTGCCAGCTACAAGCCCAGCGAGGCCGAGTAAAGTATTTCTTGGATCGACGATTCTGATCTGTTCCTTATCGCTTTAAGATGCTTTTAACCCTCTTTGCCTTTATTTTCAATCAAATTTTACTTGACAGTCAAATACTAACATACCACATCGCTGATATTGCTTACTGAAGAATACTTTAAGCCCCATATTGACACAATCGTGTCAAAATGGGCAACCAAGTCAGTTCGTACAGGTTTGTGAACCGAGGCTGTCCCCAGGGCTCTGCCCTGGGGCCGTTACTATGGAACATTTTTCAGAACGACCTCCCCTTGTGCATAGCAACCAAACCATCTATGTACGCTGACGATCACCAAATCTACCACAGTGGTCATGATCTAGTGGAGGTTACATCCAAGCTTAGTGAAAGTGCGGATCAGGCAACAGAGTGGTACGAGTCCAACTTGCTGGCCGGAAACCTAAAGAAATATCAGACGCTGAACATCGGCTGCAGCAAGACAACTGACTCAGGCACTAGTGCAGTGATCTATAATAACAATCAGAAAATTCAGACCGCAGATACTCTTAAACTTTTAGGGGTAACTATTGACTCCAAACTGAATTTTGCGGAACAAGTTAGCTCAGCCTGCATAAAGGCAAGTCAGAGAATCGGCGTACTAATGCGACTAAGGAATTTAATCCCCACTAAGGCCAAACTTCAGTTATACAAGTCAGCTGTACTACCTTACCTTACTTATTGTCACCTAGTGTGGCACTTCTGCAGAGCTAGCGATGCACGTAAACTTGAACGACTACAGGAAAGGGGCTTGAGGGCCGTTTACAAGGACAAGCATGCTAGCTATACTCAGCTACTGGAGAGAGC